TTCTTTGTTATGGGTGGGGCCACAACATTAGTAACAAAGAAACAGAATTTCCAGAGGATGAGGCCCAGAAATCAGGATTTTAAAAAGATTCCCAGGTGATTCTGATGTGCAGCCAAGGTTGAGAACCACTGCTCTAGAACAGGGGTCCTCATTTTTAAACAGGGGGTCAGTTCACTGACCCTCAGACCGTTGGAGGGCCGGACTATAGTTTAAAAAAAATCTATGAACAAATTCCTATGCACACTGCACATATCTTATTTTGAAGTAAAAAAACAAAACGGGAACAAATACAATATTTGTATTTGCATGTGGCCCGCGGGCCGTAGTTTGAGGACCCCTGCTCTAGAATTTCCACAGCCCAGGCACTCAGTGTTTGTAATTAAAGTATGTCTGAGCCAAGTCACGTGCCACAGGGAAGGATGGAACTCGGGTGTGGTACACCTGCCAGCGTTGTGTAAGAAGGCGAGCGAGTGACTTCAAAGTTTCTCAGCTGTGTGCAAAGAAAATAATATTGCCCAGGTGCCCAAGCAAATGGGTGGTGAGGTTTCATTGCCTCCTAGAAGAGATTAATGAAGTGGGAGACCACGGTGAGACTATGATTGATAACAAGCTGAAAGTGTTATCAGGAAGAGCCAGCATGTGGGATCTTCCTAACTTTCCTTTGCCGTATTATTCACTATATAGCGAGTCTCATTTTTGAATCATTCACACAGAAGTAATACTATATAGAGATGTATACATAAAACTACATTAGACATTATTTGCAGTTTAAGAAATTTTTTTAAATATATTTTTATTGATTTCAGAGAGGAATGGCGAGCAAGAGAGAGAAAGAAAAATCAATGATGAGAGAGAATTATTGATCAACTGCCTCTTGCATGCCTCTTACTGGAGATCAAGCCCACAACCCGGGCATGTGCCTTTGACTGGAATCGAACCCAGGACCCTTCACTCCGCAGGCCAACACTCTATCCACCGAGCCAAACCACCTAAGGCTAAGGAAATTTCAAGAGTAGTTTTGTTTAAGCAGTTTCATCTTTAGAATTTAACCTCCTCATAAGATATGTTGTGTACTGTATTTTATGGATTTAAGAAGTGATGTCTTGTTCTAGCTGGTTTGGCTCAGTGGATAGAGTGTCGAATTTAACCTCCTCATAAGATATGTTGTGTACTGTATTTTATGGATTTAAGAAGGTTGCAGGCTTCCGGCCTTGGTCGGGGGGCGTGCGGAAGACAACCAATCGATATGTCTTTCTCCCATCTGTGTTTCTGTGTCTTTCCCTCTGTCTTCCACTCTCTCTAAAAATCAATAGAAAAATATCCTTGGGTAAGGATTAAAAAATAAGTAAAATACTGTCTTTAAGTCTACTTTTAGTAACTGTTTATTACATTCCGATTTTAATGTTCTTTATTTCTAACAGGCAAAGAGACTCAAGAAGCATGGACAGTCATCCTAGAGCCCTTGGCCATGCATCAGAGACATTTTCAGAAACCAGTCAGAATTTTCCTGAAAGGCACGGCCACCCAGTGGTCTCTCCCCACGAGTAGCACTTTGGGCACTGATAGCTGGATGCTCCAGAGTCCAGAGGAGAATAAGTCAGCCCACGGGACGTTGTTTCAGCAGCTGGTCCACAGGCTGACTGCCGAAGAGTTACATCTGGTAGGTCTCTGCCACACACTAGGTCATGCTTGTCAAATACAGCGGTCGCCAACCGGTGGCCCTCGGACCACTGGAGGTCGGTGAGGTCCGAGAGGTTGGCAACCGCTGGTTTAAGGAAACCTTTGGAGCAGCGGTCGCCAACCGGTGGTTCGTGGGCCACTGGTGGTCCGTGAGATCCAAAAGGTTGGTGACCGCTGGTCTAAATCATTGGTTAAGGGGAATAAGTGTGCTTGTGAAACACCCAGGGTTGTCCTCTATAATATCATCTCAGTGAAACAGGTGATGCTTTTGTAAATAATATTAATATTGTCTACATTGTAGATCGCGACAATGCTCATCAGTGAAGAAACAGTTTATAATATTGCATGTACCTGGAATCCCATTAAGCTAAATTATATTCACATAAGAAAAAGGGGCGTGGGCCAAATGCAGTGACTGTATTAGGGGGTGAAGTGACGGGACAGTAGCCCCCCTTATCCACGGCTTCACTTTCCACGGTCAAATGCAGTCTGAAATATTAAATGGAAAATCTCAGAAATAAACAGTTCATATAGTTTTTTCTTTTGTTTTAATATATTATTGATTTCAGAGAGGAAGGGAAAGGGAGAGAGAGAGAGAAACATCAATGATGAGAGAGAATCATTGATTGGCTGCCTCCTGCACACCCCTTATTGGGGATCGAGCTCGCAACCCAGGCATGTGTCCTTGACCGGAATCGAACCCAGGACTCTTCAGTCCACAGGCTGACACTCTGTCCACTGAGCCAAACCGGCTAGGGCAGCCATGGGCAAACTACGGCCCGCGGGCCGGATCCGGCCCGTTTGAAATGAATAAAACTAAAAAAAAAAAAAAGACCGTACCCTTTTATGTAATGATGTTTACTTTGAATTTATATTAGTACACACAAACACTCCATCCATGCTTTTGTTCTGGCCCTCCGGTCCAGTTTAAGAACCCATTGTGGCCCTCGAGTCAAAAAGTTTGCCCACCCCTGGGCTAGGGCAACAGTTCATACGTTTTAAATTGTGTGCTGTTCTGAGTAACGTGATGAACTCTCCAGAAGTCCTGCCTGGGACTCGAATCATCCCCTGTCCAGCGTGTCCATGCTGTGTACAGCCCCACCCATTAGTTTAGTAGCCAGTTCGGTCATCAGATCGACTGTCTTGTGTCACAGTGCTTGCGTTTTAGCGACCCTGATTTTAATAATGGTCCCAAAGTGTAAGGCTAGTGATGGCGACAAATCAGAAATGCCAAAGAGAAGCCGAAAAGCGCTTCCTTCAAGTGAACAGGTGAGGACAGTACAGTGAGGTATTTTGATATAGAGAGAGATCATTCACATAACTTTTATGGCAGTATATTGTTGTAAGTGTTCTATTTTATTGTTAGTTATTGCTGTTAATCTATTACTGTGCCTAATTTATAAATTAAACTTTATCAGAGTGGTTGGGAGGATTCAGTGGATTATAATAAATACATAATACATGCTCAATAGGCCCGGCTCGCGTGGCTCAGTGGTTGAGTGTGGACCTGTTACCAGGAGGTCACGACTCAATTCCCGGTCAGGCCACATGCCTACCTTGTGGGCTCGATCCCCAGTAGGGGGCGTGCAGGAGGCAGCCGATCAATGATTCTTTCTCATCATTGATGTTTTTATCTCTCTCTCCGCTCCCTTCCTCTCTGAAATCAATAAAATAAAATAAAAATACATACTAGTATATTTAGCCTTTTCTTAGTTGTAAATTGAGGAGTTAGGATTACATAATCAGTAAGTTCAACTCTAGCACTAATATCCACCAAGCCTGTGTCTTCCATAGGTTTTTATGTTAATAAGCATCTGGGGAAACTGTCCTTGCCTTTCACTGCTGCGTTCTCCTTTACACATGTCAGCCATGTTCTCAACCAGCTGGAACTTCTTCTGTAGGTCGCCAGTGTGGACCCCGGTGACGGCTGGCCCCCCGTCACAGGCGTCATTTCCCCGCTCTCTACCAACACTACGGTTCTCACCGTGTTCCGCACCGAGGAGGCTGCATTTCAGAGGCGTTTCCTCCAAACAGCTGTGGCCGAGAACCCCCTGGACACCGCGTCCCTTTGTTCCGATGTTATGGATGTCATATTGAGTCCGACCCCCTGTTTGTTGGAAGACCCTACCACCTCCGGTAAGTTTGCAACCAACAGCTGACACTCCAGGGCGGTGGCTGCAGGACTTCCCCCCTGCCCCCCATCTGCTCTCAGTAGAACCCCAGTATCTGTTATAAAACAGGTGAAGGCAAACTAGTACTTCAGGCAATTTAAATCGTCATTATTGATAGAATCCTGAAGCGGTTGGAGGAGGCCAAAGGCTCTGTGAAACCGCTTCGAAATTAGAGAAAAAGATGAAACCTGGTTTTTAACATATTTACTAAAGACTGCATGTGAACCTGTCAAGATTCTGTCTGCCTTCCAGTTCATGGCATTGTCACTTATGCTAGGTAGATGAAAACGCAGTTACCTTGGTATTTCTTCCATTTGTTCATTTATTCAACAGATTTAGCGAGTGCCTGCTGCATGTCAGGCGCTGTTCTATGTATTGGGAATAACACACCAGTGAACAGAGTAGGCAAAGCTCTTGTTCTCACGGGGTTTACCATTCAGTCGGAAGACAGGACAATAAACTAAATAAGGGAATTATATAGGATATTTGGAAGCGATAAATGCTATATAATAAATAGGAAAAAGGGAATGGGGCAGTTATGGGGTAAGAGGGGTGCCGTTTTAAGCAGGCCTGGTTGGAAAGCCATTGAGCACAGGCCTGCAGCGTGCGCCTGCTGTGTTTGAGGCGCAGCGAGGAAGCGTGCTCCTTGTGCAGTCAGAGCAGCAGTTTTCATAGACACAGGCCGTGGGAGTGGGTGCAGATGAAGGAGGGTCGCTAATGCTGCGTTTTGTATATCCTTGGTGAGAAGGCGGTCAGTCCTTGGCAGGCGCAAGAACGGGGATGTCCGCTTTGGTTCTCATGCCTCTTTTCCTTCCATCTCTGCTCCGTCCCTGCAGCTCCTCCCTGTCCAGAGTGGGCCCAGCAGGAGCTCGGCCGCACCGCGCCCTGGAGAGCTGCTGTTGCCGAGAGCTGGTTTCCCTGCTCCAACCTCAGTGGCGCCAGTTCGAATTTGATGGAGTCATTTTGGTAAAACTCCTTTTATTTCTCTGGGAACTGATCATTGAAATCAGCTCTCAATTATCTCGATAGGAGTGGTGGTGTTCTTTTTATAACAGACTACATTTTATGAGTATAGTTCAATAACATTAAAAACTAATTACATAACTATGTATGGTGCCAGGTGTGTACTAGACTTATTGGGGCATTACTTTGTAAATCATATAAATGTCTAATTGCTATGCTGTATACCTGAAGCTAATATAAAATACTGAGTGTCAACTGTAATTGGGGGGGGAAAAACAATTCTGAAAAGCAAATTTATAACCAGTAGGATCATATTAAAAACCACTTCTCCTGAAATTAAATACATTTCATAGCTAAAAAAATAAATAAATGAAAACTAATTACAAATGGAGAGTGTTGTTTAATGGGTGTACAGTTTCAGTTTTATACCTAATACCTATTTATTTGCACATGGAAGTATGTTGAGTACAATCAAAATTGCAAAAGGATGGTATAATATATTTCAATCAAAATTGCAAAAGGATGGTATAGTATATTTTTAAATAATTTACAACATAAAATAGCAGGTTTTGCTGGTTTTAATTTAGAAATACCTGTGGGAGATAAGGGTGGGAAAAGATTGGGGCTTTCTCTGTGTCTATAATGCTGAATTTTATTAAAAACAAAAGATCTGAAGCAGATATGGCACACTGTTAACAAGTACTTAATCTTGGAGCGAGGTACATACTTACTATTTAATAATGCTTTCTCATCTCTTCTATATATTTGACATGTCTAAAGTTTAAAAAAATTAACAGGAGAGAAAAGGCAAACTCCCCACTGGTAAAGGAAAACACCAGCACACTTAGGGAGACTGAGTTTGCTTTAGACCTGCCAGCAGGTTCAACTAATGATACCATAGCTTTTTAAAAAAATCTTTATTGTTGAAAGTATTACAAATGTCCCCTTTTTCCCCCCATTGACCCACTCCAGCCTGCCTCTGCCCCCCTCCCCAGGCCTTCATCACCCTATTGTCTGTGTCCATGGGCCATGCATTTATGCATACAAGGTCTTTGGTTGATTACCTTCCTCCCCTGCCTTCCCTCCGACATTCCGCCCTCTGTTCCATGCTTCTATGTCTCTGGATCCACTCTGTTCATCAGTTGATTTTGTTCATTAGATTCCACATATGAGTGAGATCATGTGATACTTGTCTTTCTCTGAGTGACTTATTTCACTTAGCATGATACCCTCCAGGTCCCTCCATGTTGTCTCAAAGGGTAAGAGATTCTTTTTCACTGCTGCATAGTATTCCATGGTATAAATGTACCACTGTGTTGTTGTTTTTTAATATATTTTTTTATTGATTTCAGAGAGGAAGGGAGAGGGAGAGAGAGATATAGAAACATCATTGATGAGAGAGAATCATGTATCGGCTGCCTCCTGCATGCCCCCTACTAGGGATTGAGCCTGAAACCCGGGCATGTGCCCTTGAGCAGAATTGAACCCGGGACCCTTCAGTCCACAGACCGACGCTCTATCCACTGAACCAAACCAGCCAGGGCTATTTAATTTTTTGAGGAAACTCCATACTGTTTTCCATAATATACCAGTTTGCATTCCTACCATCAGTGTACCAGGGTTCCCTTTTCTCTATATCCTCGCCAGCACTTGTCATTTGTTGATTTGTTGATGGCAGCCATTCTGTCAGTTGTGAGGTGATACCTCATTATCGTTTTAATTTGCATCTCTCTGATGATCAGTGACTTTGAGCATTGTTTCATATGTCTCTTGGCCATCTGTGTGTTCTCTTTGGAGAAATGTCTTTTTAGAGCCTTCGCACATTTTTAAATTGGATTGTTTGTCTTCCTTTTGTTAAGTTGTATGCGTTTCTTATATATTTTGGATATTAACCCTTTATCAGCTGTATCATTACCAAATATGTTCTCCCGAACAGTGGGCTCCCTTTTTGTTTTGTTGATGGTTTCTTTTGCTGTGCAGAAGCTTTTTATTTTGATGTAGTCCCATTTGTTTATTTTTCTCCTTAGTTTCATTTGCCCTAGGAGATGTATCCGTCAACATATTGCTACGAGAAATGTCTGAGATTTTGCTGGCTATTGTTTCTTCTAGGATTTTTATGGTTTCCTGACTTACATTTAATTTAAATCTTTTATCTATTTTGAGTTTATTCTTATGTATGATATAAGTTGATGGTCTAGTTTCATTTTTTTGCATGTATCTGTCCAATATTCCTTGCACCATTTATTGAAGAGACTGTCTTGACTCCATTGTATGCTCTTGCCTCCTTTGTCAAATATTAATTGAGTGTAATAGCTTGGGTTGATTTCTGGGGTCTCAGTTCTGTTCCATTGGTCTATATGCCTGTTCTTGTGCCAGTACCAGGCTGTTTTGATTACAGTGGCTTTGTAGTATAACTTGATATTCTGGTATTGTGATTCCTCCAACTTTGTTTTTCTTTCTCAAGATTGTTACAGCTATTTGGGATCTTTTTTGGTTCTATATAAATTTTTGGAGTGTTTGTTCTAGATCTGTGAAATATGCTGTTGGTGGGTTAATAGGGAGTGCATGGATTCTGTAGATTGCCTTGGGTACTATGGACATTTTAGTGATGTTGCTTCTACCAATCCATGAACACGGTATATTCTTCCATCTGTTTATGTCTTCCTCTCTTTTTTCAATGTCCTGTAGTTTTCCGAATACAAGTCTTTTACCTCCTTGATTAAGTATCTTACTACATTGCCAAATCCATTTATTAAATCTAGTAGTTTTTTGGTGGAGTCTTTAGGGTTTTCTATGTACGATATCATGTCATCTGCAAATAATGAGAGTTTTACTTCCTCCTTTCCAGTTTGGATGCCTTTTATTTCTTCTTGTCTGATTGCTGTGGCTAGGACTTTCAATATTATGTTGAACAAGGGTGGTGAAAGCAGACATTCCTGTCTTGTTCCTGTTCTTAGGGGAAATGATTTTAGTTTTTGCTAATGGCATCATAACTTTCTCCTATTTTTAAATCAGATTATATCAGGTAATGGAAGATAGTGAAATACAAGTAATACATTTTGAAAGTTGTCCCATTTTTGTGATTTCCTTAGTGCCTGGTAGTTAGCTCTAGGTCAGTGGTTGGCAAACCGCAGCTCACGAGCCACATGCGGCTCTTTGGCCCCTTGAGTGTGGCTCTTCCACAAAATACCACGTGCGGGCGCGCACGTACAGTGCGAAGTTGACTTAAAACTTTAAGTAAAGTTTATTTAAAGTTAATTTTAGGGAACATTGTGGAGTGAAAGAAGATGTAGTGTCGAGGATGGAGAAAGGTATGTGGAGATGGTTTGGACATAAGAGAGGATGAACGAAAGGAGACAGACGAAACAAGTATACAAGACGAGTGTGGATGAGAGAGTTGGAAGGGGTCGACCTCAGCGAACGTACCTCAATTAGATTGAGGACGTTTTTAGCAAAGGCCAGCTTAGGAGGACCCTAACTAAGTTAATAACAATGTACCTACCTATATAGTTTAAGCTTAAAATATTTGGCTCTCAAAAGAAATTTCGATCGTTGTACTGTTGATATTTGGCTTTGTTGACTAATGAGTTTGCCGTCCACTGCTCTAGGTGGACAAGTGTTCCATAACTAATCACCCCTCACCCCCATTTCTCCTCATTCCATCGTCTTGCACTTGAATGTATGGACACTGAGCAAAAAATAACCAGGGAAGCGCAGAAGTGAAGTAGTTGCCGTAATCAAACATGTACCCTGGGACGTGAAGATCTTGTTAAAAAAGTCAACACTGTGTGTAACGATTAATGGTTCTGTGAACAGGTAGCCTTTGCCTCTGAGTTTGTTCAAAGCGTAAGTGAGAAAAGGGACCATTTCCCTCCTGAGAAAGCATACTTTTGAAGGCATCTTGTGGGGCCATCTTATAAACAGAGGCATTTTGTTATTATTGTCGTGTTGTCTTTAAAGCATTTGGGGAAATTAGACTTTCAGCTTTACACCAGCCTTCTTGCCTTGTTCACAGGCTGCTGCAGGCTGCCTCGCCCGCTAAGCAAGAGTCTTCCAAGACTGAGAGTGAGTTAACACGCCGCCTGGCCGAGCTCTACCTGAGAAGGTCTTGTGAGGAACCCGCCGTGGCTAACCAGGAAGACAGCAGAAAGAAACGTACGCTCATACCAAGGAGGTTCTTGAGTATTTTTTGAGACTGTATGTTTTATAAAGAGATAATACTCCCTAAAATGAGGTTGAAATGGTAACCGAATAAACAAGGACACGTTCTTCTATTTCAAATTTCAAAATAATTACGTTAGTACAATAGTGATTAAAATATCAGCCATAGCCCTGGCCCGTGCACTGAAGGGTCTCAGGTTTGATTCTGGTGGGGCATGTACCTGGGTTGCAGGTTCGATCCCTGACCCTGGTTGGGTGTGTGCGGGAGGCAACCAACCAATCTTTCTCACGTTGATGTTTCTCTTTCTCTCCCTCCCTCCCATCCTCTCTTCCACTCTAAAACTCCATGGAAAAATTATACTTCAGTGAGGATTAACAAAATAATAAAAAAATGAGCCGCAATTTTACCTTCTTAATAAACCATTTTCATTTTTAGTTATAACAAATTTAAATACAACTTTGCGTGTCGCTTACAGAATTATTTGTTCATCTGCTACCTTGCCTTTTCAGTTACTATTCCACCTCACTACTTAACAAAATTTACAGAATTCTTTTGTTGTTGAATATTTTGATTGATATCATTATAAATGATACTGTAGTGTACATATCATGCGTATGATTTGATTTGTTCTTTAGTGATTTCGTTAGCATAAGCTTCTAGGAAAAGTTTTTGCATTATAAAGTGGGAAAAGTAGCTCTTAGTGCAGAATGAAAGCAGTGGGGTTTTTTGTTTTTTTGGTAACTGAAGTAGTTCTTGGTCCACTGGGGTAAAATTTCTTTTACTTTCCCTCCCACGATGGTTGGTAGGAGGCGTCCCTCGCACGCCAGTGCGGCAGAAGATGAAGACCATGTGCCGCTCCTTGAAGATGTTGAACGTTGCGAGGCTGAACGTCAAGGCTCAGAAGCTGCATCCAGATGGCAGTCCAGAGCCCGCTGGGGACAGGGGGACCCAGCAGACAGCGGGGGGGAGAACAGCGGGGAGATTGGAGCACAGAGGAAGGACACAAAAAAGCCCCAAACCTAAAGGTACTCCCTCATTTCAAAACATTCAGTGTCTGAGTGCGGGTGACCCTTTATATACCCTCACTGGGGGGCGGTGCACGAATTCGGTGAATGGATGGGTGGTCTCTCTGGGTAGCCTGCGGGGATGGGGCCGAAACCTGCAGTCCAGTGCCACCTGCAGCTCCTATCTGCTGCTCCCACTTATTCCTACCCTGCTCGGGAGAGGTTCGAGCTGCAGCAGCACTCACCAGCCATGAGCCCTGCATCTGGCGCCCTCCTGAGGGGAGTGGCTTGCGGGATCAGGCCAAAACCAGCTCTCTGACATCCCCTGAGGGGTCCTGGATTGTGAGAGGGCACTGGCCAGGCCTAGGAACCTTACTGGTGCAAGATCGGGGCCAGCTGCCCTAGCTGGTTTGGCTCAGGGGATAGAGCATCGGCCTGTGGACTGAAGGGTCCCAGGTTCGATTCCAGTCAAGGGCACATGCCCAGGTTGCGGGCTTAATCCCCAGTCGGGGGTGAACAGAAGGCAGCCAATCAGTGATTCTCTTTCATCATTGATGTTCCTATCTTTCACTCTCCCTTCCTCTCTGAAATCAATAAAAATCTATTTAAAAAAAAAAAAAAGATCGGGGCCGGGGTGGACCGTGGGAGGGCTCCAGGGTGTTTCAGGCTCATCTCGCTCAGTCCTGATTGGCCAGATCCCAGCAGCAAGCTAACTTACTGGTCGGAGCGTCTGCCCCTTGGTGGTCAGCACATGTCATAGTGAGCGGTTGAGCACCTTAGCATATTATTAGCATATTAGGCTTTGATTGGTTGAACAGTCGACCGGTCGGTCACCAGAGGACCGGACACTTAGCATAATAGGCTTTTACTACATAGGATATTTCTATGCATTTCAGGCAAGCACAGCCTTTACCCACTCTGCAATCTTTACTGGAAGTCCTCAGTGTAACTTTTTTTTTTTTTTACAGATTTTAAAACTGAAGAGGAGCTACAATCTTACATACATGAAAATTACCAAAAGACTATGGCCACAGGAGAAACCGTGTTGTATTCATGTGCTCAGAACATGATCTCAACCATTAAAGCATTTCTCAAGTCCAAAGGCACCAAGGACTTAGAGGTAAGAGGGTCCCGATAAGTGTCATTGTTGCTTATTGGCGGGTTTGGTTCACATGTTTGTATGTAGGGCATGATTCATACATGATGAGGGGAGCGAGGAGGTGAATGGTGAGCACAGTTCCAGGTCTTTCTAACAAGGCAGAAACGGAAGGCATGGGTTAGGCTGGTAATGCCATGTGCTCTCCTCTGTCCTTATCTGAGCCTCGTGTGAGCTGCGTGTATTAAGCCAGTGGTTCTCAGTCCTGCCTGGACTGTGGAGTCACCTGCAACGTTTTTGCTTGTTTGTTTGTTTGTTTGTAAATCCTCACCTGAGGACATTTTTTCATTGGTTTTCAGAGAAAGGGAGAGAGAGAGAAACATCGGTGTGAGAGAGACACATCGGTGTGAGAGACACGTTGACTGGTTGCCTTCCACACACATCCCGACTGGGGAGCAAACCTGCAACCCAGGTTTGTGCCCTCGACTGGGACTCGAACCCGTGACCCTTTGGTGTGCGGGCCAACGCTCTAACCACTGATGAACACTGTCTGGGGCACGTGGGACATTGTTTAGTACCTGATGCCTGCCTCCCTCCAGATGCAGTGAAGCAGATGTCTGCGTGTTGGGACCTGGGTATCTATACACTAACAGCTTCTTACGTGACCCTTATGCACAGGGATGTTGTAAGCCACTGTTTTAGACCAGTTATTGCTTCTATTCAAGGCTGGTGAAGCCAGACTCTTCTTAAGTGAACAGGAGTTGTTTATAGTATGTAGACATCTCAGTCACTACTGTATGGAATCTTCCTTTTAAGAAAGGTCAAGCCCTGGCCGGTGTGGTTCAATGGTCAGAGCGTTGGCCTGCACACTGAAGGGTCATGGGTTCAATTCCTAGTCAAGAGTGCATACCTGGGTTGCTTGTTTGCTCCCCATCCCTGGTTGGGGCCTGGGCTGGAAGCAGGTAGTCAATGTGTCTCTCTCACATCAGTATTTCTCTTTCTCTCCCTCCATCCCTTCCTCTCTCTCTGAAAAGCAATGGAAAAAATATCCTCAGGTGGGGACTGAAAAAAAAAAAAAGATCAAATCTGCAGGCTTGAAGATAGAAAAGAACAACATTCATTTCACCATTTTTTCATTAAAGTGAAAGAAGGGGCCCTCACCGGTTTGGCTCAGTGGATAGAGCGTTGGCCTGCGGACTGAAAGGTCCCAGGTTCGATTCCGGTCAAGGGCATGTACCTTGGTTGCGGGCACATCCCCAGTAGGAGGTGTGCAGGAGGCAGCTGATCGATGTTTCTCTCTCATCAGTGTTTCTGACTCTCTATCTCTCCCTCCCTCTCTGTAAAAAATCAATAAAATATATTTTAAAAAAAATAAAGTGAAAGAAGGGGGCGTGTGTAAAGGAATGTACTTCCCTTCTTTGGCACTTGTCAGCCCTGAAGAAATTAGAAATGATGACAAGGAATGTCACATTTTCCTATGTGATACTTTTGGATTTTCAGATGAACTGCCTGCATCAAGTCAAAAATAACCTCTTAAAAACTAGCAAAAGTCTTAGACAAGACATGGGAAAAAACCGGGATAAAGAGGACAAAATCAGAGAGTAAGTAACCTTTTTTGTTTGTTTTTTTAACCATTGCTCCAAAACAAACTCTAAGACTTGCTTGTAGCCATTTAGAACAGATGGCAAATTGCTCGGAGAGGCTTTTGTGGCTGATTCTTTATAATCTGTTGCAGTTTGAGTCACTTGTTTACCTGATAACCATGTGGCTAGAGCAGCGGTCACCAACCTTTCAGACCTCACGGACCACCAGTCGGTGACTGCTGATTTAGAGAAAGCCACGGTTCTCCGTTTTGTTGTTTTGTATATAAGTAGATCTATGACTGAGGAAGGGGCCTCAAGTTTAGTGACCTTCAGAGTAGCTATAGCCTAGTGCAGCGGTTCTCAGCCTGTGGGTCGCGACCCCTTTGGGGGGTTGAACGACCCTTTCACAGGGGTCGCCTAAGACCATCGGAAAACATATATAATTACATATTGTTTTTGTGATGAATCACTATGCTTTAATTATGTTCAATTGGTAACAATGAAATTGGGGGTCACCACAACATGAGGAACTGTATTAAAGGGTCGCGGCACTAGGAAGGTTGAGAACCACTGACTAGTGTTTCTCTCTTTCAAGGTGCCAGCTGCAGGTGTTTCTCCGTTTGGAGATGTGTGTGCAGTGCCCGTCGATACGTGACAGCATAGATGACGTGGAGCAGCTGGTGGAGGAGGTAAGTATATCGCTCGGGGCCGCTGGGAATGTGCTAGAAGCTCTCAGCGTCCCGCAGAGGCGTGTACTCACCTCAGAATCTCCTTCAGGTGGCGGATTTGCTGCGCATGGTGTGTTTAACTGAGGACTCGGCATACCTGGCGACGTTTCTGGAAGAAATTCTGGGAATGTAAGTTTGAGTTCTGCTCCCCTAACCTTAACACTGTTCCACCAAGGAGTGCGTATGGCGTTGTTTCAGAATCCTGGAACTGGAGGGACCGTTTCCCATGCAGGGCGAGGGGGGGATGGAGGGGCCACCGTGACGGCTCTTCCCCATGTAGCCAACCTGCCCACAGGTACATCGACTCCATCCCGAAGACGCTGGGGCAACTGTACGACAGCCTGGGCATCGTGGTTCCTCAGAAGCTGGCTGGGGTCCTGCCCACAGACTTCTTCAGCGACGACTCCGTGACACAGGAGAGCAAGTCGCCGCTTTCCTCCGTGCCCCTCATGGCCGGCGGCGGCAGGTCAGTGCCGGGCGGCACGGACTCCGACCAGCTGGAGGAGCTGCGAACCCGGTCGGCTAAGAAGAGAAGGTAGGAGGGCGTTGGGAATTGAAGGCCTTCCTTGTATACTCCAGTTCTGGCAGAGAGGGTGTTTAGTTATTATTTTTAAATCCTCACCTGAGGGTATTTTTCCCAGAGAGTGAGAGGGAGGGAGGGAGGAAGGGAGGAAGGGAGGAGGGGAAGAAGGAAGGAAGGAAGGAAGGAAGGAAGGAAGGAAGGAAGGAGGGAGGAATGGGGAAAGAGAGAGAAACATCGATGTGAGAGAGACATCAACTGGTTGCCTCCTTCACAAACCCCAACCTGGGGTGGGGAGCGAACCCACAACCCAGTTACATGTCCTTGATCGGGAATTGAACCCGGGACTCTTCAGTCCGCAGGCTGAAGCTCTGATCACTGAACAAAACTGGCTAGGGCCGGAGGGTGTGTTTAAACCACAGTCCAGTATGTGTGTTTGTCATCCATTGACTCCCTTGTGGCCTCCTGTCTGAATCACAGAAGCCAGTCCCGGAGTTTCTGCTCTGGTTCCTGGGTGTTCGGAAGCGTGTCAGGAGCAGGTGACACTTATCCGGGGAACACACAGTATTTGCCACTGAGTCCCCAGAGCCCTTGACTGTCCGTGGGGTGTCCGGGAACTAGGAGCCTTGTAGGAGATGAGCGTAGGGTTTTAGCTTTTTAAGTTTTCCTTTTTAAGTTTTTCATTGTTTATAACTAGTTGAATTTATAATACTTACTTTTGGAAATTCTGGGATTGACCTGCTTTGCTTTAAATTCTGGCCAATACCAAGATCGCTGACCTTTATCTAAAGAATGTTTTAGCCCTGGCCGGTTTGGTTCAGTGGATAGAGCGGTGGCCTGTGGACTGAAGGGTCCTGGGTTGGATTCCGGTCAAGGGCACATGCCTGGGTTGCAGGCTCAATCCCCAGTGGGAAGCATGCAGGAGGCTGCTGAGCAATGATTCTCTCTCATCATTGATGTTTCTCTCTCTCCCTCTCCCTCTCCCTTCCTCTCTGAAATAAATAGAAATATATATTTTAAAAAAGAATGTTTTATTTTACACTGTAGTTTCCGTCTAATTTAACTGCTACTGAGTGTACATTGACTGTTTCTTTCTCTTTCCAAAAGGAAAAATGCATTAATAAGACACAAAAGCATTGCGGAGGTCTCACAGAATCGTCGACAAATTGAAATCCCCAAAGTGTCCCAGAAACCCGCGAGAAACGTAAGTCATTTCCCAGAGACAGGAAATGGCGCCAGAGACCTAGTCCTTCTGCGCGAGCCACACGGGAGAGCAGAATGAAGGGCGGTGTCTGCGGTGGGGAGTGGACGTGGCGCTCACAGAAGTCAAATCAGATGTTGTTTTTTAATCCTCACCTGAGGCTATTTTTCCATCGATTTTTAGAGAGTGGAAGAGACAGGGAAAGACAGAAATATTGATGTGAGAGAAACACACATGGATTGGTTGCCTCCTACACTCTCCCTAACCAGGGCCTGGGAGGAGCCCTTGACTGGACTCGAACTCCGGACCCTTCAGTCCGCATGCCGATGCTCTGTCCACTGAGCCAAATAGCCTAGGGCAAGATGTTTTTATGAATGTGTGTGCAACTATAATCCACGGACTAAAGAAATATACATGTGTTACATATTAACCCTTTTACCCAAAAGTGTGACAGAGGTAGTGTAAATAAAACAGCAAGCCCAAGTTAGGAAGGAATGAGTTCATTTGAAATCTTTAATGTAGATGAGAATTCTCCTAAATACTGACTAACATAAGCAAAGAGGTCATTGAACAGTGGTGTGCAAGCATAAAGGGGATCTGGCTGTGTGCCAATATGTGTGTTTTATTTCCATAAGAAGTTAAAGAAGTGTGGGTGGGTGGCTGGTGCTGTTGTCCGATGGTAACTTGGTTGTGGCAGGTGTAAGGACTTGAGGTTTGTTGGTGGCAGAGAGAAAGAAACCTAGGTGGAGTCTGTGAGTGCGTGCCAAAACCAGCAAATGGGTTTTGAAATGTCTTTTCCCATTGTGGACCTCTTACCAAGTGGAATGAATGCCTTGCTAAGGATTCGGTGAAACTTGTGAACTGCACAGATTATTGAGAAGCATTAAAAGTCTATGAGAACTTGCCCTGGCCGGTTTGGCTCAGTGGATAGCGTGTCGGCCTGCGGACCTAAGAGTCCCGGATTCAATTCCGGTCAAGGGCACATGCCTGGGTTTCAGGCTTGGTCCTACGTGCAGGAGGCAGCCAGTCAGTGATTACCTCTTGTCATTGATGTTTCTATCTCTCTCTCCCTCTCCTTTCCTCTCTGAAATCAATAAAAATATATTTTTTAAAACATGTATGAGGACTAGCTTTAGAAGCGCTAATCATTACAGTGATGGTTTGCTGTCTGTTTATTGAGATTTGTAACTGTCCTTTGGAATCTGAAGTGGGATTTCTGTTAAAGAGTTAGTGTCTTCACTTTTTATCCTTACTCGAGGATATTTTTTTCATTGACTTTTTTTTTTTTTTTTTAAGAGAGACTAGAAGGGGGCGGGGGGGGGGCGGGGAGAGACACATGCACATCCATTGATTGCCTCCCACACTTGCAGACCGGGGTGGGATGAACCTGCAACCAAGGTATGTGCCCTTGACCAGGAATCAAACTCTCGCCCCTTTGAGAGAAACTGGCCAGGGCTGGGCTCACTTTCTCAGTAGACCTTACTATGTGAATAAGATCCAAATCTGATGTATGTTGGCATCCTGATTGGAGAGGGGGGAATCCCAAAGTGGACGGCCCGGAGGTGCCAGGCCACCCTCAATAGATCTGAGGATGATTTGCCGTCATTCATCACTGCGTGTAACTCGTCCTTCTAACGCTGGTGCTCATGGGACCGAAACTTCATTTCAGACCAGTCAGGAAAGCTTGCTTCTTTAAAACTAGGTTTACTGAGATTGTTTGTTTGTTTCCTATTCTGCATTTTGCCTTTTCCCATTGTGGACCTCTTTCTGTGTTAGAATATCCAGGTCTTGCTTCCTTCTCTATTCTTACAGACCTTCCTAATTCTGTTAATATCTGCATTGGATGGATGAGCCATCATTGATTTGTTTCCGTCTTTATGGATAGTTAGGGAGTTTCTTATTTTGTATTATTATTGCAGCCTTCAGTGTCCTTGGATCCATGTATCTATTTTTGTGCGTTTTGCAACCATTTGTTATGGATTCCCGTAAGGAGAACTGTCAGGGTCAAAGGGTGCCATGTGGAATTTTATTCCCTTATTTTAAATGCATATCTGTTTTCTTACTGGGTCTTCTCATCTTTCAGGAGAACCCTCGCCCCACGCTCCCGCAGCCCTCGCTCCCAGTGAAAGATCCAGTACAAGGTACGCTTCGTTCTCTCGGCACCTCTTCATCGACTAGAACGACACATTTATTCACTTGCATGTATTTAAGCAGCTGCCTAGTTATGGGAGTTGTTGGTTAGTGACATATGTCCAGATGACATGTACTAGGAGAATGAGGTGTTCAGGGGGTCTCAAAATGCTGCACTCTGAAATCTTTTTTTTTTTCTTTGGGTAAAGCATTTCTTTTTAAAAATATATATATTTTTATTGATTTCAGAGGAGAAAGGAGAGATAGAAACATCAGTGATGAGAGAGATCATGGATCAGCTGCCTCCTGCACGCCCCACACAGGAGATCGAGCCCACCACCTGGGAATCGAATGGTGACTTCCTGGGTCATAGACTAGATAACGTGCCCTCATACCCAGGAGACATGGGACTGAGGAGTCTCGTGTCTGCCCTTCCTCTGCAGTGTGGGGGTGGGAAATTGTACAAATGGGGGGGCAGGAATGTCGATAGGGCATGAATTTTAGCAACGACTATTGATTGTGTTATTCTTTGAAGTTTTCTATAGATATTAACTTTTTCAAAAACTGGGGAGAAACAGAAAGTAGCAAGTCCAGGTTAGCTGTCAGGTCGTAAATCAGGTTCGTAGACAGCCTCAGGCAGCGAGCAGGGCTCTTACGTGGAGCTGGAGGAACTTTTTTATTTTTTATTTTAATTTTATTTTTAAATATATTTTATTATTTTTTACAGAGAGAGGAAGGGAGAAGGATAGAGAGTTAGAAACATCGATGAGAGAGAAACATCAGTCAGCTGCCTCCTGCACACCCCCTACTGGGGATGTGCCCACAACCAAGGTACATGCCCTTGACCGGAATCGAACCTGGGACCTTTCAGTCCGCAGGCTGATGCTCTATCCACTGAGCCAAACCGGTTAGGGCTGGAGGAACTCTTTTAAAACTTCGCTGTGTGATTGGGGTCCTTGGGTTAATGTGTGTGTCACTGATGGGAAGACGTCAGGGGGCCTCCCAGTGTGTGGGCCTGCTTCCTTTGGTTTTCTTTCGATGACTGGCTCTTAGAAGACTTTACCGCAGAGCAATTATCACGTAGCCCCCACGAGGCCACTCTAAGATTAAGAAGCCGTTTTCCTCGCGTTGCCAAGTGTTTCTTGACTCTTCAGCTTCCTCCCCTAACTCTGAGTCTCTAGATGGTCACAGCTTTCATGCTGTTGAGTGAGGAAGGGCATTTAAAATAACCCAGAAAATTAGTAAAATATTTGTAAGAAGATTAAAATCTTTGAAGTTGAAAGAACACTTTCTACCTGAGGCTGAGCTGAATACACAGCAGCGAAAAAGGGAGGACAATCCTAACTCTAGGGTGTATTGAAAGGCCCGTCCTCTTACTCAGGGTGATGTCCATTCTTCAGCGAGCAAAGCTTCCAGGGTGTGTGTTGTGGGCCTTCTGTGTGCTCCTGAAGGTTGAGTTTACATTGAATTTATAAAAGTAAATGATTTTAGCCCTGGCCCGTGGGACTCAGTTGATTGGGCTTCGTCTGTGCACCAAAAGGTTGCCAGTTCCATTCCCGGTCAGGGCACATGCCCAGGTTTCTGGCTCAATTCCCAGTAGGAGGCGTGCAGGAGGCCGCTGATCAATGTTTCCCTCTCACATTGATGTTTCTCTCTCCCTTTCCCTTCCTCTCTCTCTAAAAATCAACTTAAAATAACTTTAAAGTACCATGTGAGTATAGTAGTTAAGGAAATTCCCCAGTAAGTGTCTACCAGCATATAGTAGTCAGTCTGTAGCATAGTTTCTTTAAGCAGCTTCTCTCGGTTGTGGATAACTTTCTTTTCCCAGATACGGCATTTATAAGTGATAATATTTGTCTTTTTCGTTTGTTTGTTTTCAGAAGTGACCAAAGTCCGAAGAAATCTCTTCACCCAGGAAATTTCTCCTTCAAAGAGACCGGCGAAGCGGGGGCTGCCGAGAAGCCACTCCGTGTCGGCCGTGGAAGGCCTGCGGCACCAGCTGGACAGCGTGGGCCGGACCAAAGGTAACTTCACCGCGACCCGGGCAAGGGCTGCTCGCGCCAACCAGTCCCGAGACCCGCTTTACGGCAGGAGCTCATGCATTTCCTGTTTTCCCCTTCTCTGTGGTTGCCTCCAGTTACTTTTCCCCTCGGGGTCTCTCCAGCCGAGGTCCCTGCGGCTGAGGGACCGGCCGTGTCTGAGGGACCCTGTGCTGCTCGCCTTGCAGGGCATCCCAGGCTGCTGACCAGGACTGTGGCCGAGACCCCGGAGCACAAGCAGGTCTCCGGGCGGCTGCTGCACCGGCAGATCAAGGGCAGGTGAGTGACACCCGTGTGGCCGCCCCACCCCCCAGACAGCTCTCCCTGCTCCATGGGCTTCGTGACTCAGGTCCCGACTGTTTCTTACAACCAGAGAGCACCCTGTCAGCTCCGAGGGCCGAGAACCCACGGGAGGGGCTCTGTCTGGCCTCGCGCACCTGGCCAGTGGTTTTGAGATTTACCCGTGTTGTTCACATGTCAGTTCATCCCTTTCTGTTACTGAGCAATATGCTGTTGAATGGATATTCCACATCTTTTTTATTGATTTCAGAGAGGAAGGGAGAGGGGGGGAGAGAGATGGAAACATCAGTGATGAGAGATTCATTGGTCAGCTGCCTCCTGCCCACACCACACTGGGGATCGAGCCCCCAACCCAGGCATGTGCCTTGACCGGGAATCGAACCCTGATCTTCTGATTCATGGGTTGACGCTCAGCCATTGAGACACACCAGCTGGGCTGGCTATTTCACAATTTTAAAATCCATGTGCTGACACGGGGAAGGAGAGGTGGGTCTTCATTATGGCCAGGCAGGGCTGGGGTCTAGGGTCCCAACTTCCTGTGCTGAGGGGCTGTTTTCTGGCAGCTGCCTGGGCAGAGCAGGTCTCCCCTGACAGTGTCTGTCCTTTGTGACCCCTGCCCCGGTTCTCGGAGGGCAGTTTTGGCCGCACCTCTGGGTGTGTTCAGGGTGTCGGCCTCTCCAGCACCCATGGGATCTGAGAAGCAAAAAGGAACTTCCGGGTGCTCACTTCCCCGTCTCTGGGTCCTGAGTCCCAGCCAGGCGACCTCTGCTCTCCGCCCTTGTCCTCCTCACAGTTGCTGCATGTAACGTACAGGAAGACTAGGGAGGAGCACGTGTGTGTCTTGTCAAGGCTCCGTCTTGTCATTACTGGTGTTAGGGTTTCACATAACTTGTGCCAGTTTTTCTACAGAATAAATGGTAAGAAGTGAAGTTTGTAGGTATTAGAGTGGAAGAGACGGGGGAGAGATTACTTGCCTCCCACACATGCCACTAGCTGGGCCGGGGGTCAAACCTGCAACCCAGGTCCGTGCCATTGACCCTTTGGTGTGCGGGCTGACGCTTTAACCACAGAAACAGCGGCCAGGGCAGAAGTATACATCTGTAGTTAATTTTGAAGTTGTAAAGAAATGTTTGAAGTCCTAGCTGGTTTGGCTCAGTGGATAGAGCATTGGCCTGTGGACTGAAGGGTCCCAGGTTCTATTACGGTCAAGGGCACATGCGCGGGTTTCCGGCTCGGTCCCCAGTAGGGGGCATGCAGGAGGCAGCCAGTCAATGATTCTTATCATTGTGATTTCTATCTCTCACTCCCTCTCTCAGAAATATATATTTTTTAAATGTTTTAACTCTGATAGTGAGAGAGGGCCCATGGCGGTGCTATCAGACTCTCGGGGGGAGCGGCTGTATCTCCTCAGTGTGTTCACTGTGAATTCATTCGTGATTCTGACTAATCCTTGTGCTCTTGGTTCCTCGAGGTCCTCTGACCCTGGTCCTGAGATCGACGTGGTTGAGGAGTCCCCGGAGAAAGGTACCTACTGCCTTTGTGTGGGAGTTTCACCTGCTTTCTGTGGAAACCTCACGGCCTGGTCTGCTCAGCCTCTCACCCTGAGACAGGGCTGGGGAAGGTCAGGCCCGTGAGATCATTTGGTTTGGCCCTGCCCAGGCCCTAGGGGTGACGTTGATAGTTTATATGGTCCCCAAATGATAGTTATTATAAATATCCAAATGGCCCCTGGCAGGAAAAGGTCCCCCACCCCTATTCTAAGCTGTTCACAGGGAGGTGACAGTGCTGCACACACCCGCAATCTTTTTTTTTTTATTATTAAATATATTTTATTGATTTTTTACAGAGAGGAAGGGAGAGGGATAGAGAGTTAGAAACATCGATGAGAGAGAAACATCGATCAGCTGCCTCCTGCACATCTCCTACTGGGGATGTGCCCGCAACCAATGTACATGCCCTTGACCAGAATCGAACCTGGGACCCTTCAGTCCGCAGGCCGATGCTCTATCCACTGAGCCAAACCGGTTCCGGCCACACCGGCAATCTTGAGTGGTGAGTGGCCTTTTAAAGGTATATGTGATGGAGTTTCCCAAGATTGACTTTTTTTTTTAAATCAAGATAGATGTTTATTGTTGAAAAATCAGAAAAAAATAGAAAAGTCAGAATTTTGATAATCACTTGGTATACTTGGTAATCCCATAACTCTGAAATACTGTTAACAGGTTAATATATGTGATAAACGCATAAACTGCAATTTTTAAATTGAAACATTTTTACAAGCGTGACTACTTTACACATATTTCTCACCCCCCATCGTACCTCATGGTGGCCAGTCATGACACTGTCTGAGGTGACAGGCTCGTGGGCCACCTTCTTTGCACCTGCTGGGGCCACATACCACACACACCTCTTATCTTTGCTACCACAATGAAGTCTCAGCCAATGGCGTGTCAGGCTCCTGTCTGTATTTGGTAACACATGAGTGTTGCTCACGTGCACGTGGGAGAGGTCAGGTGGCGTGTCTCCCTGCTGACGGCTGTGGCTCTGCTTCTGTAGAGGTGAGTCTGAGAAGAAGCCCTCGCATCAAGCAGCTGGCACTCGGCAGGACGAAATCTGGTCCCTTCTATTCTGCGTCTCAGCCGCAGCCTCGAAGTGTGCAGAGGGTTCACTCGTCTCAGCAAAGCCAGTCAGGTAACGTGCCTGCCCCACGTCCACGCTGACTTGGTGGGGGGAGTATTTTTGGGAAAAGCAGTGAGATTTGGCCTCTTGCTTCTGGACATGGGAGATGTAGAGCCGGTGAGTGTATTTGAGGTTCGGGTGATGAGCAATCCGGGGCCTTTATGATCCGCATCATCCCTTCGGAGTCTGACAGCGGCCGCGACCTGTGCTCACGTCTTACCCGAGTCCCAGGGGGAGGCGGTACCTGTGTGTCTCCTTTGCTCTTATAATTACACACGACAATGTTTCCTACCATAGGGCCGGGGTTAACTGCAGTCTTATTCACACTCAGGGAGGTAGCATGATCGTA